GTTTGCATGTTCTCCCCGTGTCTGCATAGGTTTCCTCCGGGTGCTCCGGTTTCCCCTACCACTAAAAATATGTACAATAGGTCTGGCATGTGCCTTCTGTACTGGCGGCCCCCAATCCCAAAAATAACAATTGTAAACCGCTTTGAGACTCCGATGTGCAGTGAAAAGGCGGTATATAAATAAAGATGACATGAAATGATGACATGACTAATAATTGCAGATCCCCAAGAAGAACGTCCATTATTCTAACCAAAGGTGACACATCCACAAGAATGAAAAAGGGCATTCAGCTGAAAAACTCTGTGCTGTCAAGACACGTTAGATGTAAAGTGTGGCATTATTAGTGAAATGGACGGACAAGCGCAGTCTCTTAACTCTTTGACTGCCATTGACGTATTTATCTGAGACCCTCTTTTCGACTGGCGATTACAGGTAAACAAAACTAGCTAGAAACCAACTTATTTTTGCTGCTGAAAGTAGACAGTCCAATCTTTCAGAATCTGGTTTCATATTTCACATAGTCATAGCACATAATATTCTGTGGGTCTTTAAAATGAGTGAATTCATCAAAAACGGCTGGCAGTCAATGAGCGAATGACTTTTGGAGCCGTGAAGCCTGGCTACTTTTGGCTCTCGGTTTGGGACTAAGTTATTCAGTCGCTACGGCCGCAACAATAAGTCATCTCCAAGTGCGAAGCGTCTGTAAGGCTCGTAATTTTAAAGATATATATACTAAAAGTGGTTAAAAACAGCTAAAATATAATTCACAAAATTCATAAGTATTTTCAGTCGTTAAAACCAGACACCCTACTATTTTTTTTTTTTTTTTTTTTTTTTTTTGAATAATAGTAGGGTGTCTGGTTTTAACGACTGAAAATACTTATGAATTTTGTGAATTATATTTTAGCTGTTTTTAACCACTTTTAGTATATATATCTTTAAAATTATGAGCCTTACACGTCCATCACTGCTTCATCTGTCATGTGTTTGCGGCCCCCTCCATCTTCACTCTCTGCTTCCATCTGGGAGAGAAACCACATGCTGCCGTCTCCACATCACACTCAAACACTGACCAAAATAATCGGGTTTCATGATGTGAGCATAGACTGTGTATAGACGGACGATGCTAACATGCTAGCCCAATGAAGCTAAAAATTGCTCCATCTTGCTCAGGTAAGAGTAAACTCATCTAGTTCAGTAACCGTATGTGTCACATTCACCATTCTGGGTTCAAAACTGATTGGTTTAGCTCTCTACGTGATCCTAGTATTTTAAATTTGGTATGGCCTCTATGCACGCGCCACTTCTGCGTTTTAGCTAAAGCCCCACCTCACTTCCTGTTCGCGGGAAATGGCTTGGGCTTCACTGGAGTTCAGCGGTGGTTTACACGAGTTTCCCAAATAATGCTCAAACGGGGATCAAACTGTGAGGATACTGGGCATTTTTGGGACACAGCAGTGCTCTTTGATTGTGCCGTCATTGTGTTTTTATAAAGTTTAAAAATCTCTCTGAGTGGCCACAGTCAAAGCTCTACCTCAGAGAGAATGCACAGCGACACTTTTGGGTCAGTCTCACAGCTGAATGTATCAATCTAATTACTAAAAAAACGTCACTAAAACTCACCTAAATGCCATAGAATAGGATAGACAGGAAGTGAACGGGCCGATCTGCGTTAACAGGAAATGACGTCACGCCTCCCCGTGCATATGCCTCAATTAGCGGGGAAACTCCAGCTTGCCTTAGCAACCACTTTAGCATCACGCCTACTGTAGCCTGTGTTAAGCTAACGCAGCGGAATAAATGCCCATAAGGAAAATGGCTCCAGCTATTTATATTCAAATCAGCCTCATTAGCATCAAGGCTAACACTACTATGTATTGTACGGTCTATGGTTAAGAGGTTATAGAGATGAAGCATTAGGAGCTGACCAATTTGAATGATTTATTTCAGACACCAATGTGGATTAAATTAGTTTTTTGTTGTTGTTGTTAGTTTTCAGTTTGTTAGTTTAGTTTTCTATCATGAATTATCACTTATGCAATGTATTCACAGAGGCATCCTCAGTCTTTGATCGGCCACAAACATGATTTTTAACACTGTAGCCTTAAGGAACTTGCACTTATTATGCTTGTTGTTTTTTTAATGTACCTGTTTTGTGCACACTGGGGACTCTTGTAAATGTATTCCAATGTGGTTTTACTGCAAATGTCAATGTTTCTTTAGATGCCACTTTTAATTGTACATGATATATCCTGAACAGACTATATTTTTTGCCTTTAACATGTTTGCACACTTCTGCCTTTTGCACAATCTGAGCGATCCTATCTATGCCAAAGAGATACATAAAGTCTTAAACTTATCTTTGAAAAAAAAACAATCATCCAAGCTCCTCCCGTGTGAACCACCTCCTCCACCTACAGTATCTCTAAGGGGCTGCGTCAGAGAAAGGGTGAGGGGTCTTTTCGGCCGTATACCCAAAGCTCGTGACCAGAGGTGAGGGTGGGGACACAGACGGAAAAGGAGAGCTTTGGTGTCGGTCTCTGCTCCCTCGCCACCAGCGCAGTCTGACACAGCGACCTCATCACTGTCACTCTCACACTGCAAGACCCCGAGAATCCCCCACACGAGAAAAGACCTCTCCAGTCTCCTTTTACTTAACACTATAACTGAGCAAAGCAGTCAAATTGACGGCTTTTCGTTTTGGAAGTGTAGTTTCTCCACTTACAGTATGCGCGTTTTTTTGTTTTTTTTCGGTCTTCATAACTCGGAAATGTTTCTGTTTATTTACTTGAATCAGTTAGAATTCAGTTTTTGTGTATTTAATATATATTTACAGACCATAATATCTGAATAAACAGTTTTGTCAACAACAAATCTATAACCAACACCTTTTTCACAAATCCTGGTTTTATTCCTTGTTTTGTCGTTAATTTTTGAGAATCATAACAAGACCTTTTTTAGTTCTGCGCCACATGGTACTTTACCAGTGAGATTAGCTCCATGCGATGAGTTCTGGCAACCCGGATCACGGACTTTCTGATTGGTTAAACAGTGGAGGGCGGGACATCGAATTGAAAACCATAACAAGATTTAGCTGCTGTAAATCTAACTTTTGAATCCAAATATCTCTGAACTACAGTTATTAGTTAAAGAAGTATTGGAAAAGACCATGTTTCATTTACGCCTTTTAACAGATTAGGGCCCTTTAATGATGACTATGAACATGAAAATCTTACATATGGCTCCTTTAAATGTAGGTACCATACAGTATATTGCATGTGCTGTTTTGCTCATTACGCAACATTTTTGAGAACCCCCAACCTTCCCGAGACACAATAATAGACTGGGACGCTCTGAAAAGGCCTGACGTGACAAACATTACACATAATCGCTGCTGCGGGGCGAGCTAGCTTCCACGGATCTCACGCTTCTCGAGGCTCACAGCGATTCTCAACTTACAATCAAAGCATTTCTCTCATGAATACACAGAGAGGCACGAGGCCCCTGGAGCTTTATGGTGTGTGTGTGTTGTGTTATTAGTGCACATTGTACATAAAAGGACAAGTGTAAGAAATCAGATGTTAATCATAAAACCAGTAAAGACAACATCTGATCTTTCCTTTTGAGTGTCTTTAAGAAGCAGCGTGGTTGTAGAATCGGTGTTGCGTCTCATGTTCTCTCTCTAGTCTCTCTCTGCTTTCTGCTCTCTCTCTAGTCTCTCTCTGGTCTCTCTCTCTGCTCTCTCTCTGGCCTATCTCTCTCTCTGGTCTCTTTCTGATTTCCCTCTCTCTGCTCTCTCTCCTGTCTCTCGCTCTCTCTCTCTGCTCTCTCTCTCTATTTCTCTGGTCTCTCTCTCTGGTCTCTTTCTGGTCTATCTCCCTGGTTTCTCTCTCTCTGGTCTCTCTCTCTGGTCTCTCTCTAGTCTCTCTCTGGTCTTTCTCTCTGGTCTCTTTCTGATCTCCCTCTCTCTGCTCTCTCTCCTGTCTCTCGCTCTCTCTCTCTGCTCTCTCTCTAGTCTCTCTCTGGTCTCTCTCTCTGGTCTCTCTCTAGTCTCTCTCTGGTCTCTTTCTGGTCTATCTCCCTGGTTTCTCTCTCTCTGGTCTCTCTCTGGTCTTTGATAATCCCTTTCAAATTACATTTTCAGGCCATTTCCATATATTAAAATACTGCATTAGTTACGCTTCTAGAAGACTTTCCAAAAGAAACCAAACCCTGCAGCTCAACAACACTTTAAATAATCAACCCAGTTTAGTATTGTCAATCACCATGGCAACTGTGCTCATTGTTTATCAGTCCAAATCGTAAAATGTGTACTCCCACATTTACTGTGCACCAACGGGGGGAAAGTCATTCATTAAAAATGCACCTCCTCCCATTGATGAATATATCTGACTAGTGGAATAGGTCTCTCTCTCTGGTCTCTCTCTTGTCTCTCTCTCTGGTGCCTATCTGGTCTCTTTCTCTGGTCACTCTCTCTCTCTGCGCTCTCTCTGGTCTCTCTTTCTTGTATCTCTCTGGTCTCTTTCTCTTGACTCTCTCTGGTCTCTCTATTTCGTCTCTCTTTCTGGTCTCATTCTCTCCGGTCTCTCTCTGGTCTCTCTGGTCTCTCTCTCTCCAGTCTTCGCTCTCTGAACTCTCTCTCTGGTATCTCTTGTCACTCTCTGGTCTCTCTTTCTCCGGTCTTCTCTCTCCGGTGTCTCTCTCTGGTCTCTCTCTCTCCAGTCTTCTCTCTCGGGTCTCTCTCTGGTCTCTCTCTCTCCGGTCTTCTCTCTCCGGTCTCTCTCTGGTCTCTCTCTCTCCAGTCTTCTCTCTCCGGTCTCTCTCTGAACTCTCTCTCTGGTATCTCTTGTCACTCTCTGGTCTCTCTGGTCTCTCTTTCTCCGGTCTTCTCTCTCCGGTCTCCCTCTGGTCTCTCTCTCTGGTCCCTCTCTCTGGTCTCTCCCTGATCTCTCTTTCTGGTCTCTCTCTGGTCTCTTTCTGGTCTCTCTTTTTGCCCCCTGTTAGCGCAATGCAGAACTACCGTACGCAGAAATGTGCACTATCGTTTCAAGGTTGCTACCATGAAGCCAAACCCCAAACCCCGCAGATAGAGTGAAGTTTGATGGTGTGATACGCACCTCCTCCCATTGATGGATGTATCTGATGAGACGGGACAGTCTTAAAAGTCGGAGCAGACTGAGAATCTTGGTAAAGCGGACGATCCTCAGGGCTCGAGCAGTTTTATACACCTCTGAGTCAAAGCCTTTCTCCACTATTAAAAAGATATAATCCACTGGAATGGAGGAGAGGAAGTCCACCACAAACCAGCTCTTCAGGTAATTCATCTTGATGACTTTGGGGTCCAGGATGATCTCAGAGCTCTCCTCGTTGACGATCCCAGTCCTGAAGTTCATGACCAGGTCCACAAGAAAGATGGTGTCCGAGGCCACGTTGAAGATCAGCCAAGTGGTGGTGGTCTGCTCCGAGAAGAAGGTTATTCCCACAGGAATGATGATTAGATTCCCCATCATCATGATGAGCATTATCAAGTCCCAGTAGAACCTGCGGAGAGAGAGCACGCACACTTTAACTTGGTCACATGTGGGGAGAGGACAGAACTTTTCAAGACATTTCATACGACAAACGACAGTCAAGACAGACAGAAAAACATACCGATAAAACAGTGACTGGTTCTGTTTGATTCTTGTAGTAATTTTTTTGTATTTCTTTGTATTGTTTTGTTGTGATTTTGTATTGCTTCTCATATTTTTTATTGTTTTGTTTTGTGTTTTCAAATGAGCATAGAAGTACAGAGTGTACGAAGAAGCTTTTTGTATGAACTGCCATGACACTGGATTTGACAACAAAGTTCGAAACCAAAAAAGATTGTTTGTTTGATGACAGGGAAGTGCTTTGTCTGAAACTTTTATAAACAGTTATTTTATTATGTTATGTTTAAATGAAAATAATGTATGTGAAGGAATACTTTGAGGTTCTCCTCAATCTCCCCGTCACGTCCTCTGTTACAGAGGCAGAGGCTGAGGATGTTGGGGCGGATACATCCATCTCCCTGGCTGAGGTCACCAAGGTGGTTGGTAGCCTCCATGGTGGCAAGGCTCCGGGTGTGGATGAGATCCGCCCTGATTATCTAAAGTCTCTGGATGTTGTAGGACTGTCTTGGCTGACACGTCTCTGCAACATCGCGTGGCGATCGGGGGCAGTGCCAATGGAGTGGCAGACCGGGGTGGTGGTCCCTCTCTACAAGAAGGGGGACCGGAGGGTGTGTTCCAATTATCGTGGGATCACACTCCTCAGCCTCCCCGGTAAGGTCTACTCCAAGGTACTGGAGAGGAGGCTACGGCCGATGGTGGAATCTCGGATCCAGGAGGGGCAGTGTGGTTTTCGTCCCGGTCGCGGAACACTGGACCAGCTCAATACTCTCCATCGGATACTCGAGGGTTCATGGGAGTTCGCCCAACCTGTCCACATGTGCTTTGTGGATTTGGAGAAGGCGTTCGACTGTGTTCCCCGGGGTGTCCTTTGGGGGGTTCTCCGGGAGTACGGGGTCGGAGGTCCTCTGCTGAGGGCCATCCGATCCCTGTATGACCGGAGCCAGAGCTGTGTTCGCATTGCCGGCAGTAAGTCAGACCTGTTCCCGGTGAATGTTGGACTCCGACAGAGCTGCCCTTTGTCACCGGTTCTGTTCACTGTATTTATGGACAGAATATCTAGGCGCAGCCAGGGGTCGGAGGGGGTCCGGTTCGGGGACCACAGGATTTCATCTCTGCTGTTTGCGGACGATGTTGTCCTGTTGGCTCCAACGAACCAGGACCTGCAGCATGCACTGGGACGGTTTGCAGCCGAGTGTGAAGCGGCTGGGATGAGAATCAGCACCTCCAAATCCGAGGCCATGGTGCTCGACCGGAAAAAGGTGCCTTGCCCTCTACAGGTGGGTGGAGAGGTCCTTCCTCAAGTGGAGGAGTTCAAGTATCTCGGGGTCTTGTTCACGAGTGAGGGAAGAATGGAGCGTGAGATAGACAGGCGGATCGGTGCAGCGTGCGCAGTGATGCGGTCGCTGTATCGGACCGTTGTGGTAAAGAGGGAGCTGAGCCGAAAGGCAAAGCTCTCGATTTACCGGTCAATCTTCGTTCCCTCCCTCACCTATGGTCATGAGCTTTGGGTAATGACCGAAAGAACGAGATCGCGGATACAAGTGGTCGAAATGAGCTTCCTCCGCAGAGTGGCTGGGCGCTCCCTTAGAGATAGGGTGAGGAGCTCGGTCACACGGGAGGAGCTCGGAGTAGAGCCGCTGCTTCTCCACGTCGAGAGGAACCAGTTGAGGTGGCTCGGGCATCTGTTCCGGATGCCTCCTGGACGCCTCCCTGGGGAGGTGTTCCGGGCACGTCCCACCGGGAGGAGGCCCCGCGGAAGACCTAGGACACGCTGGAGGGACTATGTCTCTCAGCTGGCCTGGGAACGCCTTGGGGTCCCCCCGGACGATCTGGAGGAAGTGTGTGTGGATAGGGAAGTCTGGGCGTCTCTGCTTAGACTGCTGCCCCCGCGACCCGGCAACGGATAAAGCGGAAGAAAATGGATGGATGGATGGATAATGTATGTGAGTATTTTCTTTAGCAAAAAAGGACTTTGTACGTGTCAGAGATGTATAAGTGCATGAATGACTATTGTCCTATTTCAAATGTTAACGGTCAAAATGAACCCGGTCGATCACGACTCGATCATGTGGACTTTACAGAAGTCTTATATCTACAGCTCGTCCGACTGCGAGAGTGGATCCCTCCCTCAATGTGGGAGAGCCAAGGTTTCTCATCTCAACCCCACAGGGTTTTTAGGGTTGTTCCTTGGTTTCTCTCTGTCTGATCTCTCTCTCTGGTCTCTCTCTCTGATCTCTCTCTGATCTCTCTCTCTGGTCTCTCTCTCTGGTCTCTCTCTCTGGTCTCTCTCTCTGGTCTCTCTCTCTGGTCTCTCTCTTGTCCCTCTCTGGTCTCTCTCTCTCTCTCTCTGGTCTCTCTCTCTGGTCTCTCTCTGGTCTCTCTCTCTGGTCTCTCTCTCTGGTCTCTCTCTGGTCTCTCTCTCTGGTCTCTCTCTGATCTCTCTCTCTGGTCTCTCTCTCTCTCTCTGGTCTCTCTCTCTCTCTCTGGTCTCTCTCTCTGGTCTCTCTCTTGTCCCTCTCTGATCTCTCTCTCTCTCTGGTCTCTCTCTCTCTGGTCTCTCTCTTGTCCCTCTCTGGTCTCTCTCTCTGGTTCTCTCTCTGGTCTCTCTCTCTCTGGTCTCTCTCTCTCTGGTCTCTCTCTTGTCCCTCTCTGGTCTCTCTCTCTGGTCTCTCTCTCTGGTCTCTCTCTCTCTCTCCCTCCCTCTCTCTCTCTCTGGTCTCTCTCTCGCTCCCTCTCTTTCTCTCTCTCTCTCTCTCTCTCCTTCTCTCCCCCTCCCTCTCTCTGGTATCTGGTCTCTCTCTGGTCTCTCTCTCTCTCTCTCTGTCTCTCTCTTTCTCTCTATCTCCCTCTTTCTCTCTCTCTGGTCTCTCTCTTTCTCGCTCTCTCTCTCCCTCTCTCTCCTTTTCATCCGCCCCAAACAACACAACAATCCGACCAGAGCAGACACCACCAGCTGTTGGACCCCGCACCATAAAGTGAATTTGACGGAGCGCTTGTTGTGGACCATGTGTGTGTCTGCTTGTGCGGCTGCCAACATTCCGACCTGTGGGAGATTAGCCAACCAGTAATGGATCTGTTTGACTCAATGAGACCTGGACCATGGCTTTACTGATCGCCTCAGATCAAATATCCCATAATTGTGTTGACTAAAGACTGATCAAATGGGTGATTAGTATTTACACACACAAGTCAGCAAAGAACCAGGGTTAGTGAAGGAGACGCCGGACTATGAGAGCGTCGGTCTCTTTCTCTCTGGTATCTTTCTGGTCCTACTGGTATCTGTCTAGTTTCTCTCTGGTCCCTCTAGAGTCTCTCTCTAGTCTCTCTATATTTTCTCAAGAGTTTCTTTTGGGTCTCTCTCTCTCAGGTCTCTCGCTCTGGTCTCTATCTGGTCTCTCTCTGGTCCCTCTGGTCTATCGCAAATTTCTCTCCGGTGACTAGCACTCTATAGCAGCCATTCCCAAAGTCAGTAACACCCCCTTTAAAAATCTGACGAGTCTGCATGGCCCCCAGAAATAATAACCAAGAAGACAACGTTGAAATATGCTCTTCTCGTTATTTTATTTGGGGGAAACAAACATATAAATGACGCACCCCATTTTGTGATACAAAAATTATTACAATTTGATTATTCAAGTCAAATAATGAACACAAATATTTTAATACTACAAACAAAATATTATTAATTTAACAAACAATAATTATATATATATATGTTTTTTTTTTAGATGACCTCCTGCCTCTGCGCCCCCTGCAATACCCTCTCGGACCCCACTTTGGGAGACACTGCTCTATAGTTTCTCAATAGTTTCTCTATGGTCTCTCACGCTCCCTGGTCTCTCTCTCTGATCTCTCAGGTCACTCTCTATGGTCTCTCACACTTATTGCTCTCTGGTCTCTCTCTATGGTCTCACTCTGGTCTCTCACATTTATTGCTCTCTGGTCTCTCTCTATGGTCTCTCTCTCTATGGTCTCTCACACTTATTGCTCTCTGGTCCCTCTCTCTATGGTCTCTCTATCTATGGTCTCTCACACTTATTGCTCTCTGGTCTCTCTCTATGGTCTCTCACACTTATTGCTCTATGGTCTCTCTCTCTATGGTCTCTCACACTTATTGCTCTCTGGTCTCTCTCTCTCTCTGGTCTCTCACACTTATTGCTTTCTGGTCTCTCTCTCTCTCTGGTCTCTCACACTTATTGCTCTCTGGTCTCTCTCTCTCTGGTCTCTCACACGTATTGCTCTATGGTCTCTCACACTTATTGCTCTCTGGTCTCTCTCTCTATGGTCTCTCACACTTATTGCTTTCTGGTCTCTCTCTCTCTGGTCTCTCACACTTATTGCTCTCTGGTCTCTCTCTCTCTGGTCTCTCACACTTATTGCTCTCTGGTCTCTCTCTCTCTATGGTCTCTCTCACACTTATTGCTCTCTGGTCTCTCTCTCTCTCTGGTCTCTCACACGTATTGCTCTCTGGTCTCTCACACTCGCTGCTCTCTGGTCTCTCTCTCTCTCTGGTCTCTCACACGTATTGCTCTCTGGTCTCTCTCTCTCTCTGGTCTCTCACACTTATTGCTTTCTGGTCTCTCTCTCTCTCTGGTCTCTCACACGTATTGCTCTCTGGTCTCTCACACTCATTGCTCTCTGGTCTCTCTCTCTCTCTGGTCTCTCACACGTATTGCTCTATGGTCTCTCACACTTATTGCTCTCTGGTCTCTCTCTCTCTCTGGCCTCTCGCACTCATTGCTCTCTGGTCTCTCTCTCTATGGTCTCTCACACTTAATACTCTCTGGTCCCTCTCTCTATGGTCTCTCGGGTCATTTTCTCTGGTCTCCATCTCTTTTATTCAGTCTTTTTTCCCATGAGGACCTGTTCATAGTGAACAAATCCCCATCC